GGGTCATAGGGAATTATAATGCCAAGGCTGGTTTGGAGTAAGATATGAGTAAGGTTGGTTGTCGGTGATTAAAATTTTGGCCCTCAACTGAAACTGCACTTCCCTAAATGAGGCTCGAAGAATGTCACACGAGCATTGCCTTTTATTATCAGTGACTTGGGGATCGTTTGATACCATACTGTGTTAAACATTTGCAAACACTCATGGCTCAGGCAACATTGATGTTGCATCCAGACGGGTTGTGCGCAAGTAATTTCTCCTTTCTTGCGAGTTTTACCAGCTATTCATGCTACTGAAATTGGCGCCAGTTCTAGCCGAAAAGACTAAATGAGATGTCAATGTGACCAAGGCTGGTGCTCCTATTCCCGAAAATAGTAAACTGCTCCAAGTTCCGATATATATATCCGATTTTATTTAATTTTTTTTTGCGTTTGCGAGATTTTTGAAGGCTGTCATTTGTGTTGACTTTGGGATGTTTGGAAGCGCCCCAAGTAGTCGTTGCAGAAAAAATTCGCTCGACGTCTGCTCAAGTGTTCATGCACAAACATTTCTTTCAGAAAGACACGTTGTCAGTAAATTCCAGAATGCTACTAGCTAACATTAGGAAAGCAAATGGAATGTCCTGTCCAAAATACTCGAGGAAGGACTATCCGGCTCTCCCATAGCCAACAGGAAGTTCACGGGCCAAAAGTCGAGGCATCTCTCAAGGTCGTGTCAGTAAGAGTAATTTTGTAGGCAAATTGTGTTATAAGACAAATACTAAATTATGCATGTGACGTCCAAATTCAATGCAACACTATATTTGATCCATTTTTTTACCAAATTAAAGGTTTGAATTAAGGTTTTCTGAAACACTTAATCTTAACTTCGTACTCCATTCCTGCCACAACAGAAGCAGTAATGGCCTCGCAGTCGACATAATTGCATCGGTTATTCCAGAATTTTTCCCCTTGAGTGTGAATGAAGGAAAACACATGAATTTGCACAAACACCTCCATTTTGGACTTAACACGTAAAAGCCACTGATCTCCAACACAAGGATAGACGGGAAGCTTTTTGCAGCAAATTATTTCTAATTGTAAGATTTGGTCCCATTTTCTAAATCCAAATTGAGGCAATGCAAAAACAAAAGGCTCTACTCACGTCAATGCTCTTAGCTCACTTTCAACAATCATCACATTTCAGAAAGTGCATTTTCGATGCACGATAACTTACACTGTCTGCATAATGTGCTGATAGACTTTGTTGGGCTACGTTTCACTGCCCTAATATGGAAAACTTAGTATTAATTTTCTGTTGTCTTCAGTGAGGTCAGGACAGAGGCCTTGGCTTAGTACCTAAAAGAGGTGTTAGTTGAACCGTAAATTGACATACAGGCGCTACCAAGGCAAAGCATCCCCATTTCACTTCATCGAATTTACTCTTATTGTGCATGCACTTTCGTGAAAGTACTTTTGATTGGACATCTGATTACATGCTCATGTCAGTGCATTCGCAGCTAATACTTTGTTGTATTGCTCCACCTACATCATCATTGGGAGGAGTCAAAAAGGAAATGGCATAGAGGCTGAATTCCTATTGGTGCGTACATGTTGAAATATGTCAACAAAGCTGGAAAAGCAGTTCTCGTTGGGGACGTAAGGATATTGTTCCACAGGAACATCATAGGAAAAGATTAAAAACTCTCACTGTACTCTTAATACGTTCCACGGTTAAAATTTGTACGACATAACAGTCGTGGTTTGCACTCCTAATGATTATTTCGATGCGCATCAAACAGGAAATGCTACCTGAACACAATCTCTCCATTTATCTCCTTTTCGTCTACCTCCTCGTTTCTGCATTCCTTATTCCACAATCTGCATGTCGGACAATGGAAGTTTCCTTCGTTGCGTGCTGTGAGGTTGGCATCAACAGCACTCATGAGATGGAGTTGGATACGCTCATCAAGGATAGCAACTCGGACGAGTGCATCGCCATCAACCAGGTGGAGCATATCTTCCAGGAGGTAATTCTAACATAGCTGGCACCCTGTTTTGTCAATACATTAAACGTCTTTTAGCTGTGCAATGGAAATCCCTTATAGACAAACTAAAGTGTTCCTCAAATTCGTGAAAACCGTTAAATAGAAATGCGAATTATTTCCACCTGTTTCCGCATCTGAAAGCATTATTAAAAACCCACGTGCATTTACTAGTAGTAAAATGCAAATTACGATTTCGGGCACGACTAGTTTCTCCATAAACAACTGTTGATCCAGCATCATCTCATACCGAGGGCATTGCATTTGCTAAAGGTTGCTAATATCAACGCTGAATTACCAGAGGATCGAATGGCCAAATGCCTGCAGGTCAAACGAGGTTGCTTCTATGCAGCGAAGGCTAACATCTTCTGCGAAAACGCAGCTCGCAGTATCTATTCTTCGGACGACAAACTAACGCCGATTAGTCACTTTTCTCCTGATCTACTCAAATCTCCGAGGGTAAGACTTTTGTTCTTCAACTAAGCAGCTTTGAGACTCCGATATCCGGCCTTTACACACCCGAAAAACTTAAAGTTGCAGTGGTCTTTTACAGGATTGCTGCAAAAGACACAATCGACTTCCAGCATTAGACGTTGTTTCGGACGATAGTATGGACTTTGATATCAACGGTGTCCCTCTCTGTTGCACAGTCAAAGGCTATGAAGGTGCGTTGAATAGCCAATCACAGCATTCAAATGCACTGGCATATTCTCTTATGCCTAAAACCCCGGTGAAGACATAAGAGAAAAAAACGCAAACTCCAGCCCATCATTCTGATCTCCGAATTCCAGCGCAAATCTTTTTGTGCCCACCTCTATTTTCATGCTTTCCCACTAGACTTGAAACCTCCATACCACCTCATGCAAAACTCGCCTAAATGTGTGAATGAAACAAATTTGGCAAGTTTCTTGGCCTTTATTCTTCTCTTATTTAAGGCCAAGCTGAAAATTATCATCCTCTATTACCATTGGCCTAAATGAGGGCACATCAAGTAACTCCGTTTGACATTTTCACTGTCTGTTGAAACATTCTTGTGGAAGTAATAGTTTAAGTAACCACCAATTTTATGACTCACTTTACCCTTGTCATCCTGACAGTGTAGGTCGGTAAGGTAGAACTTCACGCCATGCTTTTCCAATTCTAGTTTTATGGGTTATAAATGTTCCTTAAAGGCCTATAATTTATAAAGTTTTCTTGATTGTTCTTTGATTCGATGTGTTGCTGGCCGTTTCATAAAGCCTATGCCCTAAATACTTGGAGGCAGTTATTTTGTGCTTATCTAGTTCCTGAAGATCTGGACCCCTTCGCTAATGCGATTGCATCAAGAAGTAGTGAGGAGTTGCATGAAAGGCCACTGAATAGTTCCACAACTAAGTCTACATCGGTGAGTGTTATAGTCTCTGTTCCGTCAATCACATCTACGGTGAAGCAGTCAATGTCGACCAACAGCGACAATACAAAGTCATATACGGAGTACAAGAACTTTGAATTATCCACCACAACTGTTGATTCTACGCGTTACTCACACTCCTACCCGTACGCCACGTCTCCCCCTCCTCCTACTTCTCTATCGGACTTTCCTCTTCCTTCACATTCTACTCCACCTATACCTCAAACACAAAACACCGCGGAGGTGGAGCTCGTCTGCGAGCCTGGTTTTACGTGGAATCCAGAAAAGCAGCTTTGCCTCCACACGTTAGCTCGCTGTCCCAAAGGCATGTACCTTTCGGTGAGTCAAAGCAAGTGTCTTCCGAAAATTGGCGACAGGTTCAACTGCCCCCCCGGTTACGAGTTCCGCAATGACGTAAATGGGTGTGAGGGTAGGTAACTACTTTATTTACTTCACACACAAACCAGTTTAAATCCTTTTTGCTATTTAAATGTGGTGCATTCTAAAGACGATTTTTAGAGATTAACGAGGTGTGGCCACTGCCATAGCTAATAATCGTAATGTCAGGCCAATGAAAAGTAAAACGAAGTACAATTTCGGTATAATGAATTAAAATGCACCTAAATTAGTCTTCAAAATAGTGCAGTTAGTGGAATGAATGCGGTTAACAAGGAATGTAAGTGAAAATAGGAGTAAATACATGTGGATTCTCGTGTTCTGGACAGTGCAGAAGAATTCACGGTTAGGTTCTCCATGTTTACTGAATTTATATGCCAAATGAATGTCAGCTAGTTTTGCTCCTTTCCAAAATGGTACAATGTCAACTGTCAGAGGCCTCGTATGGTCGCATTCTGCAATAAACATTCTGCATCTGTGCGTGTCTCTCTTCTACAATTTCAGGCTCTATTGAGTAAACTGACCCTTTAAGAGGCACTAAATAAACATTAATTGGCCGGGATTTTGCGCTGTCACAGGCTGATTTCTTTCAGGTCTCGTGACAAGACGAGAGATCAACAAGTCGCCACAAAACGTGCCAACTTGGCTGTTACCATGTTAACTAGTAACTAACACCTCTGTTTAATTTAGGGAGGGAGCAGAATTGAGCTTCGTCAGCTTTATACATAATGTCGGCATTCACTAATTCGAACGGTCGCATAGGTTGACTAACCAATCACCTCTTGAATGAATAGCATGACACGCTAATGCAGGCCAAAGAATCAAAGCGTTCTACATTTGAAATGCACTGCGACGTCGAGGTGTTTACTACCACACGCATTCACGCGAATACGCACTTCCGATAGGCATCGATGCTGCACATTCATCAATGGTAACACGAAAGGGTTCTTTGTGGCTCAAACTTTTCACCTAGGAGGCATTGCTTCCTTTTGCTGAAAAAGTTGGTGCCTTTTGCA